TTTATATTTATATTATTTTGTGTGGTTTGTTGTAAATATATATATATATAAAACATTTTTTGCATCTGGAGCGTGTAACAAAAGTAATTTCCATCTGGGATTATTAAAGTATTTCTGATTCTGATATATATTAATTAAGAAAAAAACTCAAAAAGGACAAAGAGACAAACTTTTTTTTGTACTCATTTGAAAATCTAAATTTCTCCCTCGGCTTTAAGGTGGTCATAGAATGATTCTATATAGGTTATTCAATGCTGGTCCTTAAGGTCTCTGAATAGGGTGTGAAACATAGGTTGGGCTAAAAATGGCATATTTGCTGTTCTATGCACCGTAATCCGAGCCTGGTTGAAAGCCCTAGAATGAAACAACAGGTTTTTTTTCTTTTATGGTATGCTCATGAGTATTTAGATGAGGTGTGCGCTGATTGGTTGGTTTCCAACGAGCGAAGCTGCAGAGCAAAGACGCATCATAGCAACAAGCACTCACTCACTGAAACATCAAATTGTTGTGATGGCCTTACGGTGGGAATAGCCCCTCGTTTCAGTAAAAGAAGTTTAGCAAATACTGCTTTGAATCTTTCCAAGATTTTGAAAGCTTGTCTTCGGTAAAACGCATAGAGCAAATGAACAGCTGAGCATCAAACTTTGCAGGGATCTTCTGTGAAATGTTCCCCTTTCTCCATGCAGCGTGGAACACTGCATTTATGCCCATAGTTCTGGCTCATTTTCAATAGAGGAACGTCCTGCTTTGTAATTCTTGTAGAAGTAAACCCAACGGTAGGATAAACAGCTAAACTGGTGTCTTACATCGACCTCTATTCATGTTCTTGGGCCTTTGAACCAGTTAGCTGGTCTGAGTGTCAATTTTAGGGCGGGGCAAAGTACAGGCCAGAACCAAATAAGGCAACATCCCTGAGTTTGGATTCACCTGTTTTAGGGTGGAAGTTTAGAATTGTGAGATTTGCAGAGAAAGGTGGTGTTGATGGGGTTTGAACTTCTCTGTACGTCCATTTCACCCACTGAACTATCGTTATTCATCTATGAAAATGGAAACTCAGTTTTCCATCCTATGAGCCCTTTAACAGAGGCATAGCCAGAACATTTTTATACGGGTGGCCAGGCATTAACCAATGTACACTGAGGGCTGGCTGAAAGCGGATCTTCTTCCAACAGGAAAATTAACGAGCAAAAAATCCATATTTTCTAAATAAAGACAAACTATACTTTCCTACAGCCTTTGCAAACAAATAGACGCATACATTTAACATTGTTAGATAAAAGGTATAGTGGATAAAACTTTCAGTTTTGAGTTGAGGCGTAAATCTTTTCCATCGTCCTTACTTACCTACTTGTGTCAATAAACATTCTGCATAAAATGTATATTTACAAGCACTAATATCTAAATAAATTGATTATTCGATAAGTTTTTATTAAAATTGTTATCTATGATTTCACTGAAGACTCCTAGATGACTTGCAGAGACACATAATTTTCTCTTTACCCCATATAACACAAAATCTAGTTCTGAAAAGAGCATGAATTATGTACTTATCATATTAGATGTTGGTATATTGATGTGTATAATTAACCACAAAAAATGTAAATGTTTCGAACTGAGAGTATTGCTGCTGCAACAATCTGTATTAGAGGGAAAAAATGGAAGGGGTGGCCAATGATTGGTCCTTTAATAGAACTGGGTGAAGCCAAAAAAAAAGAGAAATTTACTGATAAACTTCCAACAGCCTCCGAATTTTTGCAGAATAATAGTGAAACCGCTCGGCACTAAGATGACGTGGTTTATTATGTGTTGTGTAGTTTATCCTCACTGCCCAGTAGTATTAACATGGAGACAGAATAAAGAAGCATGGAGCTTCTCTTTGCCCCTGTCCATTGGATTACAGCTGTCCGGCCGCGGCCAGCCGCTGGATCAAATTGTCAATTATGGAGTTTATTGTGGAGCAGAGAGCTGACCGTGGCTGCAGGGGAAAGGTTGGATGAGGTATAGCTACCTCCTCTGGACTCCTCTTTCATCCTCCAGGCTAATTCGGCTGCTGATCTGTGTGACACCTGCCATGAGCCTAACAGAGATAACCATTTCCCCATGGATTTCCCTGGGGAGACGCAGCAGAGGGGAGGTCTCTCTAATAATGTGCGGCGGCCCTCCAGGGTCAGCACATTATCACACTGACAGGTAATCGTGACAAAGTAGAAATAGACCAATATTAAAGAAAATAAACCAGACAGGCAGAAGTAAAATTACAAGATTTAGTCGTTTTATTCACATATACAGTACAAACATTCACTTTTTTTTATGTTACTGAAGTGCAATTTACAGACCTTAGCAGCAGTTCCTCTTATATCTCAATTTACATCGTAGTGTGACATTTTTAGATTTCTTTCACGTCTTCATCAACATCTTTTATACATTTTTTTTTACATATATACACTCTGATACAGGACTGTCATTCAGACAAACCTTCCTTTTTTAAATCTCAAAAATAAACTCTGTGGTTGCTAACATTAGGGTGATGAATGAGGTCACGTTTGCCCAAAAAACTAGATTTACCATGATTTGATCTGACAAACAGACATTTAAATTCAATTTATTCCTAATTAGTGCTTTATTTTTATGCCAGAATCTTCTCTTGGTTCTGCTCCTTTCCCAGAACTTGATCCTTAACTAGATAAATGTCAGCTATTTTAAGTTAAATAACTTGTGTGGTTCTGTTTTAAATATTTCGTAGTGCCAGGGAGTGTTGGGCTAGTGGTTAGAGCAGTGCGCTTATGCTCTGAGAAGGTTGCAAGAACCCAGTTTGAATCCCGCATCCTCTACTCTGGGTCCCTGAGCAAGACCTTAACCCCTGATTGCTCCCCAGGAGCCGCACAATGGCAGCCCACTGCTCCCCAAGGGGATGGGTTAAATGCAAAGTTAATTTCTCCAATGTGAGATGAATAAAGTTCAATTATGTTCAACTACAAATGAAAAACAAAAGATAAGAACACCAGACAAATTCAGAACGGATTGCTAACCACTAACTCAGCAATACAAGCTAAAAAAATTTTTTTTTCTCAACAGCCTATGAATTTTTCTCTAGAAAAACAGAAACGAAAACCAGACTGTTGGAGGAGCGGCCGTAGTTCTTTCAACTCTCCATGTTTCAAAGGACGATCATTTTTAGTGGAGACATTTTTAGCCATAGTTGCTTATTTTTACACAGGTTTTATTTTACGTTTTCTCATTAAACAACCACAACTTAAAGTGGTAGGGGAATTAGGTAGGAATTATCTTCTTTTTTTTAATTTTCTTTAAAAGGAAAACTACAAACTGAGCTACTGTCAAATATCAACTTGCTTTTAATTAGTGTTGCACCGATACCTGGCTGTGCAGTATTGGCCGATACCGATACCATCTGTTTGAAATTGATGTGTGTGTGTATATATATGAAGAACTGCATACTATTTGGATGTAAAATAATTACCATCATGGCTTTGTTAAGCTGCTGCCTACCTTCGTGAAGCAGGAAAAAGACTAATACAAAGTGAATCCAGTAGAACTTTTTTTGCCTACCTGGAATGGGTGACAAAAGTTGAATAAACTTTTGGCTCTCACAATGGTATCAGTGCCCTATTTGTTGGTACTCGCTGATACCGATAAAACCATTTTAGTGCTGGATCTGGGCCCCACCCGATACTGGTACTTTTAATATAAACAATTCAGTCACAATCTCACAGAAAGTTAAACCTCTGATGTTCTAAGAGCTTTCTATTAGCCGATATTTCGTTTAATCCTTCTTCCCGTCAGCTCTGATCAGTTTTGCAGCTGATGAAAAGAATCCCCACATCATAATACTGCCACCACCATGGGGATGTTAACTTTCCTGAACATACTTTGCTTGTAGGCCAAATTGATTTAAATTTTATTCAACCAGAACACGTTTTCTTCTAAATGTTCCCAATGTTCTCTTATGTGATATAAATCAAACTTTGAAAGAGATTTCCCATGGCTTCCTTCCCTACTGATGTACTCAAACGAGCTGTGGATCTGTGCAGCTCCTCCAGAGTAAGCATTAGGCCACTTCCTCTTTAGTTTGATTTAGGCGTATCAAAATAAAAGCCTAAATACAAACCTATCCCACACTTTTCATATTTTTATATATAAAGCATGCCTCAGCTTCATTCTCCTGCTCTGTCATATAAAATAATCCAACATAAACATAAAAAAGACCAGATCAAGGGGAACGAGTGTTTTAGCAGGATGCAATACTTAGACACTGTTTGTGACACTTTATTTGCAGCTTTACCACAATACATAACAATGCACTAGAAAAACGATCTAGAAATAAGTAAAAATGTCTTAAATTAAGTATATTTACCCTTAATTTCAGTAGGTTAGTGAGATAGTTTGCCAATGGAATGAGTATTTTTACTCTTAAAATAAGATAATTAGATAATATGCACTTGAAATAAGACAATGTAATTGTTTTTTCCTATTTTAAATGTAAATTGTCTTGTTCCATTGGCAAAATTACTCTTTTACCTCCTCAATCCAAGAGCAAATGCACTTATTTTAAGAAAAAATGACTTTTCTTGATTTCTGTTTTTTCCAGTGTAACATTATAATTAGTTCAGATCACAAGTCCAGCCCAAGCAGATCAAATTTAAATTTAATAGAAATCTAGATCACAAACTCCCAATTAAATTACTACGTCTACATTGATATTGAAATATGATAAAAAAAAAACAGTATTTCTAGAGTTAAAGTATTTTTTATTTCATGTAAATTTGCCTGTTTGTCAGATCATCTTTGTTAAATAAACTGAATGGATGCAGGACATGAAACAGAGATCCCACTAGATGTCACTCTCACCGCTTGGATCTGGCAGATTTCCTGCTGCTGGCGGTCTGAGTGCTTCGGCTGAATTATTTATAGAGAACACGGCGCTGACAGAACAGTACAGTTATGATTATAATGAATATAAAGACATCACAGTGACACACAGATAAAATATGCAAAGACAAAATGCATTAAGGTGCAAATTTACATGGGGTTGATGATGAGCTAAGTTTGTTTTTTAACGCGTGTTAAGTCAGGCCTCGGATCTGATGGTAATGGGTGAAATAAACGTCCACATTACTTATCAGAATGGGGCAAAACGTGGGAAAGAACGACAGCAGGAGGTCTCTACTGAGTTTATATCAAAACAACTAAAAAACAACAGAGAAGCTGCAGGTTAAAAGAACTAAATTCTGGTCTCTTCCTTCTTGTTTTTAGTGGAGTAGTAATGATGTCACTTATAAACCTCACCTTCTCCAGGGGTGCCTAACCTGCCGCCGTGTCATGTTTAGCTCCCCCGAGGGAAGAAGAGGGCACAGGGGAGTTAAAAGGGTGAATTAAGAGAAGAGAATGAAGGTAGTAATAAAAGAGGAGAAGGTGAAACACCCCGTCCTTCCCTTTCCTCACTCCCTTCCTCCATCACCCGTCACCCTGACAGGGCCCGTAATTGGACGTAGACCCTCTTTTTTTTTCTTCCTTTCTCCCTTCCCCTTTCTCTGTCTGTCTCGCTCTCCCTCCCCTGTGGCTCCTTTCCTCAGCAGGAGCCTCGGGGCCCGGAAATAGCTGATGACAAGATAGCGGCTGCCTTTCATTCCGCTCAAGGTTACCCCAACCCCTTTTCCTTGACAGCCACAGAAGGGAACGGGGTGCATTTAGATGGCTGTTGGCTCAAACCTTGAGTGTTTGTGTTCAAGGAACATCGGAGGAAAAAGTCCAGTGTTTGAACTCCAGTGTTCCTCATCTTTGACCGTCCAGCAGTGGTTTCGGTAATGGGATGAAAAGGCGACACTAAACAGAATGAACCACAGACACACGGACGAGTCGGTAATCTTTAGTTTGGAGGGTAGGCCTACACTTCCTGGAATGAAACTGGGAGGTTTGACATCTCTTCCTACAAAAATAAAGGTCATACACACACAGACTCGTTTAGGCGGACAGCAGGAACTGCTCCTGCTCCGGCGGCTTCTTCACCCAGGTACCGAGGCCCGCCTCCTGCAGAGACTTGAACCACTGCTGCTTGGCTGTCTGGTAAGGACGCGCCGCATTCTTGGCCTCGCTGTACATGGGTTCCCGGTTCGCTGCTGAGCAGGAGATGTGGACCCCCAGCTGAGAAGAAGAAAAAACACAAACAGGAAAGCAGGGGGGAGTCAAATAAAAGTGCATTGGAGAAGGATTCTGGTTTATTAGAGCTTGTTGACATTTTAAAGCATCACTAAATCTGAACAGTGAGGGGTCAGTTTGTCTGAGTTCTTTTTACTCTTCTGTCGACTTTTTCAAGTTCAAACCATGGAGGTAAGAGATATAATGGGAAAACAGAAACATTAATCTCTCTGTAGATTCTTCAGCTCATTTACAGGAGAAGTTGGGTTCCAGGTTTTATAGACAGATTTGTAAATTGATACTTTAGCTTTGTGGCGTTTCTTCTTTTCCACCAGTCTGCCTGGCTCTACTCCATGCCACTAATTCTGGAATGTATAAAAGCCAGAACCGTTACTTTTCAAGTATTTGAAAAGTTAGAAAATCGTTTGAGTGGTGAAGAGGCAGACCAGGTGTGTAATACAGTAAGCTGCAGTGGGCCCGATCCATCTATCCATCTCCTGCTGCGTCCTGCCATCACTAACGAACATGCCACAATGCTTAAATTCCTCTGGTTGAGGCTCTCCCTAACCCAGAGGGGGCAACCCATTCATTTCCTGATTACTATAATACCTGAGCATCTAATTATTGGAGAACTTTTCAGCAAGTGGAGCTAAAAAATCTGTCACAGATATTTGAGATGGACTCAAAAATATAGGAGACCAAACATTTGGAAGAAAATGCGAGTTGGTACGCCGAAACCTCCTGGTCTTTATTCAAGTTTGAAGGGAAACTAACCCTTCATCTCACACTAAAAAAACATCATGGCTGCTGGGAAACATGGTGACAGCAGCATCATGCTGTGGGTACTGTGAAATGGCCCGGATTGGTGGGGAAAGATGGTCAGACTTAAAAACAAGGGCAAATGGTTCTGTTTTCATCTTCTTCCTGTTCTTTTCAATCAACAGTGCCTGGCCACCAACCTTTAGCTGCACTACTGCCACCAACTGGAAAGGAGTGTACCAGCTTCATCTGGGGTTGTAGATTCATACCCATAAATTATTTATTTGTACTTCTATTGTTGCAAAGTTGTACCTTGTTTTCTCACATATGAAAAATCTGGTGTCGCATGTATGAGCTGACAGCAAAGAACAAATAGAAGTCTTAAATTTACTCATGTTTATTAACATATATTAACAACTTTATACACTGATGCATACTTTTAAATAAACAGCTACCTTACCCCATATAAGCCACACTTTTCAGATTTCTATGTGTAAATATAACCCATCTTTCCTATTCAGTATATCATAAGGTTCCTATTACATCAGAACCTTCATTAAATATGGTAATTTGTGTGGTTTTCTTGTTTTGCTGGGCTCTGTAAGGTGCAGAAGGTTGAGTCAGGGTTGGGGTGGGGGGAATAGAGGAAAAGGGGCGAGCAAAACAAAACGAATGAGCCGGCACAAATGCATTTGGGTGGCTATGGGAGGGGGTGGATGTGGGGACTGGTGGGGGCTTCAACAGCTGTGTAATCTCCCCATTTAAATTTCACAAGCAATTGCACATTCTCTGTGCTTTTTGTGCTTTCTTACAGTCATGGGGGGGGGCAGTGAAGATCAGCAGAGAGACAAGTAGGGAGAGGGAGGCGAGGAGAGCAAAAGTTTCTTTTGGAGATTAGTGCGACTGCTCTTGCGTGGCCCGTATGTGCGGCGCGCGGGGAGCACTTAGGGTGGGGGCCTCCTCGAGTACTCCTCCAAATAATTATGGTTTCATAGTCATTATGCGTTAACGGCTCGCCATTTGCCGACGCAGGCGGTGTCGGTTACATAAAGTTTCAGAATGGAAATGAAAGTGCGGCGGGTGAAGATCCGAGCTGCCAGATTCAGATAAGGCGCACAGACGGCAGATGTTGCCAAGACGACAAATTTATCTGCAGCTTAGAGGAAATTCCACATTTCCTCAGTGCTCTGTGATTTGGATTTTAATACACATGTGTGGCTTTTGATTGTTGGAGAGCCTCTCTGTGGTTAATGTTTCTGGATCTCCTGCTTGAAGCTGGAGATTTCTGATGGCAGTGGATGCAGCTAAGCTAAAACCAGAGTAACTCCTGCTGCATGGGCCAGCCAACTCTGAAAGGTCATCAAAATCAAGATCAAACTAAATGTTTAAATTAGTGGGACGTTCACATCCTAACAAGCCTGCACTACAGGATCTAATAAACACAAAGACCTTTTGGGATTTTATGATATAATCCCTGGACCAATAATATTAACCTTTTTCCAACAAACAACAAAATTCAAAGTTTTTTATTCAAATTTCAGGTAAATAAAGCACAGTTTTCTCTCTTTAACTAACGACATAAAATTTAGAACTAGAGTTAATATCTCTGTAATTTAATCACAGTATGAATGCAGCTGTTCTGTGTAGGCCTCAGGGATAAATGGAGGGCTGCAGAAGTCCACAGCTCAGGTGGGAGAATCTGTTACCAAGACAACGGTCTTTGTGCATCGCACAAAACTCCCACGTACAGAACAGAGGCAAGAAAGAGTTGATTTTTCCAGGAACGTCATGAAACATCAGCATGTTTTTTTTTTTTTTCCACCAACCATGGAGGAAAGAAAGCAAATAAGTGGAATCAGAGGTGAACAACATTCAACATGATTGGCTACGAGCAAAATGCTGTTTGTGGCAAAAATGTATTGCTGCACCCCCTCATGGTGAAGTAGGGTAGTGGCAGCATCATGCTGTTCAGATGTTTAGCATCAGCAGTAGAGGTAACCCGATACATTAGCCTTTATTCGTGTTATTACCTACGCTCATGTCTTCAAGGCATTCAGTATCAGAGTATGTACAGCTGCTCCCTCCATTCGCTAAACGTTGTTAATGTTTTGTTTGGTTTTTAAATTTTTTTTGTTTAAATTAAGTCTTTTCTAACATTTATGATCACTTTTATTATTCAAATAGAATAAGAAAAAAAAAACTGTTTCGGCTTCGCAAATCAGCTCTAAAAAACAAAAAAGGCCGCAGATATGTAATCTGTATCTGCGTTGGCCTCACAAAACCTGCATCAGTCGATCTCTAATCCGCAGGGAAGCTAGTGAAAGTTGATGCGAACTCTGAAGGAGATAAAAACCACTGGAGGCTTCAAATGACTTCATTCTTGAGAGTCAACTTCCAGCACGACAAATACTCCAAAGCTAAAGGACTAAGGACTAAGGTCTCCGTACCAGTTCATGCGCACTAACCACTGAGCCACCTGCACGCCCAAAGCTAAACTATTTCTTGTTGTCAGGGGTGAATAATCCATGTTAGAAGCTAAAAATTATTTAAAAAAAGCATTTCCAGCTCCAAAATGCAGTTTAATCACTGGGTAAAGTTAACAGGGTAAGGAAAACAAGACAAGCACCTTCTGGGCCTGGATTATGCAACTCTGCTTGTTTATCAGTTACATAAAACACAACAGTTACAGTTAATAAATTAATTAGAAACAAAGTTTCTTTAAGAATAAAGGTACCTTTTGAAATGAACAAACTTTAAGCACATATTAAACATACCTTTCATTAAGCCCATTAACTGCAGCCTCCTACTGTAAAAATAAGGCTTCTCTCAATCATGACAGGGGTTTTCAGGCTTTTCATTTTGTTTTCTTTTCATTTTGGTTGATTTTGGTTTAGCAGGTTAACAGATTATTTGACCTGATCAATTATTCTAATCTGAAAAAACATTCTTGACCACATCAATCTGTGTCTGTTTTCACACACTGTTTCATTTATAAAAATTTACTCAGTAATATTCTAATCTATGGAGTCTTGGGGGCCATCAGGAGCCAGCACCTCTGTAGAACTCCTGGCACTAAAGACATAATACTTAATAAATTAATAATAAATAGATGATAGGAACTGGCATAGAAACCATACATTTGAACTCTCTAGGACAAATTCCTTCTTCTTTAAACAGTTTTATTTTTAATGACGATGTAAAAATGAAAACTTGTTCCCTTCTAGCGTTGTTCATATTAGGATTTGATCATATATTTCATCTGCTATATCTAAGGATCGCAAAGCAGAACATGCCTCTTTTGTTCACTTGATATTTCACACAATTTATGGCTTTTTCATTCTTTTTTTCAGAACCTCCCTTGAAAAAAACGATTGGCTGCATCCTGGGCACCGTATGAAGAGAGTCTGTATACTGACGTTTTAATACTTTAATAAAGCACCAGCGTCTAGAAGTGAATCGGAAAACAACATGAACACCAACTAGAAACTCTGCACCTCTGGTCTGTGGTTTTATTTCCCCAAATCATTTTACACTACAGTCTGTTTTTCTGCTAAGAACTGGCTTCTTCGGGAGCTGAAAACACGAACTTAGCTTAGTAAGCATCTCACTGTGCCCACTGAGCCGTACAGGACGACAGCTGAGCTGCTCTGTGTGTCTCTGCTTTCATATGTGTGTGTGAACGAATTGGTAGAGATCAGGGAGAAAAGTTTCTGGTTATAAATCTACTATATATATAAATATATATATATATATATATATATATATATATATATATATATATATATATATATATATATATATATATATATATATATATTCAAGTTTGGGGGTCACTGCCCCAAGTGACCCAATGACCACGGGTACCACTGATGCCTTGACCTTCCAGGTTTCCTCCAGCTCTTCTCTGAGCCCCTGGTATTTCTATAGATTTTCATGTTCTTTTTTCCTGATGTTGTAGTCACTTGGTATTGCTATGTCAACCACAATTGCTTCCCTCTACTCTTTGTCCACCATCACAATGTCAGGTTGGTTTGCCATTACCATTCGTCTGTATCTGGAACTCCCACAGGATCTTGGCTCGGTCATTCTCTACCACCTTTGGAGGCGTTTCCCACTTTGACCTTGGGGTTTCCAGCCCATATTCTGCACAGATGTACCTGTACAATATTCCAGCCACAGCAATGCAATGTTTAAAAGGATATTTTTTAATGTTTCAACTATAAACCCGCTTCTCCTGAACTTTAGTCCTACTTTTGCCACAGTGTGAGTGACTGGTGTTAGAATAATTGTATATAAATGTATCTGTGTAGTGTTATCATGCAAAAAGCTGTGTGCTATGTGCATGTTTTCATAGCCACTTTTTGTGAAGTATACTGTGATTCGTGGACTTGCTTTTGGGGAGGTTGTGGTTGATTTACGAGCAGCACTCAACCTGCTGAACTTTGGTGAACAGCTTCAACAGCTTAAACTTTGACTGAACCCTGAGATTTAGAGGACATGTTTGTTGAGACTGCAAGTCTGAGTTCCTTGTCCCCCCCCCCATGTTTTAGGTGCTTAGACCTGACACTGGATAGAGTTTTGCTTTGGACCGTCCTCTGGCCTGATTCCAGAGAGATGCTCCCTCACCTTACGGTACAGTCTGGTCCAGCGGGCGAACAGGGCATGCTTGCAGAGGCGCGATTGCGTCCCTGAATCCCGTCGCCGTCCCGTCGCTGTGTTGATCACCTCCAGCTGCGGGTCGCCCACAGTCCAGTTGACGCTGACGCACGTGGCCTTCCCCTGCTGCTGGTACTCAGCGTTGCTCAGCCCTGCGTACATCAAAAACAAACAATTTAAGTGAGAAGGTAACTTTCATAGCAGTCAAATACGGATCACTAATAAAATGTAGAAACTCTGCAGACTCTTAAAACCTCAGCTTTGTTGGTTCATCTAACCTTCCTCCACCTTTCATTCCCTTTCTCCCTGAGGATAACGGCTCTTGTTACTTTTTGCTACCCTGCAAAAAGTGGACCCGTGAGTTAAAATGTGTCACTGCAGAGCTTTGATACACGCCTAGAGAGAAAGAAAAGATGGAAAAAAGGAAGGCTATCAATCAAGCACCCCCTGCGTTCCTGCCGTTGTACGTCAGCCGGTCTGTGTTCCTGCAGCGCACAGTTCTGGGGACACGCTGTCTCCACGACGAATATGAACGCCATTGATAAAGATCAGCGGCTACACCTGAATCGGGCTGTCACTGTGTTCTTTGAAATAATATCCTCGACAACAAAGCATAGAACAGGAGAAATGTTGAGTGGATGTTCTCATTGGGTTCTAGTTAGACAATTAGTGAAGAGCTGACGGTGGACTGGGGAACAAATTACCTTTCTAAGGTGAACAACATGAGGCTGACACAATTATTTAATCACTGAAGTTAGCAGCCATGATAGGGAGTAGATTTTTGTACCTTCCTTGTTGTTTTATGGTTTCAGTGACTGGCATGTTTGCATTTAGGAAAACTAAAGAAAAACTTCAGCAAAGACTTCCAGCGATTTTACTTGTTAAGCAAACAACATTAGCAACATTTGCACTCTTAAAAAAATCTCCTGACTTTTTTAATTTTCTTTTTTTGGGTGGGAGGGGCAGGGGGTTCTCATTGTCCGGCACCCAGGAAGCAGTCTGAAGTCCGCCACTCTGACTCTTGCTCAAGGAACCCGAGTGACAGCCTGAACCTCAGGGACCCAAGTGCAATGCTTTAACCACTAGGCCACCGCCTCCACATATCTACTGTCTTATGTTTATCACAGTCGTTGAGGCATCAGGTATGGGTCAAAGCCGATCATTGCTTCTTTCAATTGCATAACAGAGTCCAGTTAAGGGCTCTTAGCTCTTGCTGCTGAAATATTATCCATCCCTGTCAGAAATGAAGGTAAATCCTTTCTTTGGGACGTCTGTACTGGTGGGGCATCAATATCTCTTTACATTCCAAGCTTAAAGTAAGACACCGCTTCACTCGTATCCAAAAATATATTTGGAATACCAAATAAATTAAACAAAAACATTTATTTATACTCACTGTTTGTGCATGGGATCGAAGTTTAGATAGTTTTCAGAAATGACATCATTTTGAAAATAATTGCTAACCGCAAGTTTTACTTTAGGCCGTTTAAAATAAGAGCATTGTTAAACAAAGGTATAGTGGAGGATCGTTGCGAATTTTTAAAAAGACTCACCCTCTCCACTTAAAAAGAAAAAAATGTACATGCATAACCCTGTAGCTGCGCCTGAGAGGGAACGCCTATTATATACGTGCGAGATCTTGCACAAGCCCGTTTCTCGTCAAGCGCGCTCTGTTTAAGAGTTGCTGTTTGCATCACACATGCACAGATATAGGAAGTAACGAAGTACAAATACTTCGTTACTGTACTCAAGTAGATTTTTCGGATATTCTTACTATACTTTACAACATATTTTTATG